TTACCTGTGTGTTAAAATTTGTTCCTAAGTATAAAGGTTTACCTGTGTGTGAAGATTTGTTCCTAAGTATAAAGGTTTACCTGTGTGTGATGATTTGTTCCTAAGTATAAAGGTTTACCTGTGTGTGAAGATTTGTTCCTAAGTATAAAGGTTTACCTGTGTGTGAAGATTTGTTCCTAAGTATAAAGGTTTACCTGTGTGTGATGATTTGTTCCTAAGTATAAAGGTTTACCTGTGTGTGAAGATTTGTTCCTAAGTATAAATGTTTACCTGTGTGTTAAAATTTGTTCCTAAGTATAAAGGTTTACCTGTGTGTGAAGATTTGTTCCTAAGTATAAAGGTTTACCTGTGTGTGATGATTTGTTCCTAAGTATAAAGGTTTACCTGTGTGTGAAGATTTGTTCCTAAGTATAAAGGTTTACCTGTGTGTGAAGATTTGTTCCTAAGTATAAAGGTTTCTTAATGTTTAAAAGTTAACTGTCAGAAGAGATTTTCACTAAGTAAACAGATTTACTTAGGTGTCAAGACTTGCCCCATTTTACAATAATACAGATTTATAAACAGTTATAAAGCTTTGCCCAACATATATTTTCCACAAGTATAAAAAAAAGTATCTCACTTTCAGAAAAAAAAAATCGAGTAGCTGCATGAGAATTACTGTTATAAACGTGGGTGTATATCAAGATATCATTTTGTTTTCCAGACCACCCTGATGATAACCCTGCTTAATATTCCAAAACAGCAAAACATATACATTGTATTTGCATTTCAATCCCATTTTATATTACAGTATACTCCTAATATTTATACACAATACAACCTGTATGTTGTGATCCTTGTTATCATAAACCAACAACATGTTTATCTAAATGTACACCTTTTCTTAAATGCCTTCATTTTTTTTCTTTACAACTGACTTCAACATCATAATACAAAAATAAATATAGATAGCATTTCTTTATAATTAGAAAACATAATTTACATTCCAGATAAACACATCTCCCTTATCACTGGTCTCCCCTGTGATTTATTAACCCTCCCCAATAGTGAATCTCTTCTAGTATAAGAAGCCTAGTTCCCCTATACAACCCCTCTTACATAATAAACTCATCCTCCAGGTATATGAAGTCTCTCCCCTCTCTACAACCTCTCTCGCATAATAAACACACCCTCCTGGTATATAAGGCCTCCCCCCTCTACAATCTCTCTCACATAATAAACACACCCTCCTGGTATATAAGGCCTCCCCCTCTACAATCTCTCTCACATAATAAACGCACCCTCCTGGTATATGAGGCCTTCCCTATCCACAACCTCTCTTACATTATAGTATACACACCCTCCCAGTATATGAGGTCTCCCCCCTCCACAACCTCTCTCACATAATAAACACATCCTCCTAGTATATGAGGTCTTCCCCCTCCACAACCTCTCTCACATAATAAACACGCCCTCCTAGTATATGAGATCTCCCCCTCCACAACCTCTCTCAAATAATAAACACACCCTTCTGGTATATGAGGCCTCCCCCCCTCCACAACCTCTCTCACATGATAAACACACCCTCCTAGTATATGAGGTCTCCCCCTTCACAACCTCTCTCACATAATAAACACACCCTCCCAGTATATGAGATCTCCCTCTCCACAACCTCTCTCGCATAATAAACACACCCTCCCAGTATATGAGGTCTCCCCCTCCACAACCTCTCTCACATAATAAACACAACCTCCTGGTATATGAAGTACCTTCCTCTTCATTCAAATAATTACCCTAAAGCAATATTTGCCCTTTGTTGGAACTTTCAGTAAACTGTGATGATGAACCTATCCAGATACAACAGGGTGTGATTTCTGGACAGGAAGTTAATCCAAAATATGGACAAAAATGGCAGCATCAGCTTGAAGGTCAAACTCTCTGGTTGAGTGTTAAATTATTCCCTAACTATTTAAAGTGACAAAACACACATGATCTTATAACCATCCAATAGATTTCCCAATCATTTGCTATTAAACCTCAGTTTGTTACAGGGAACATGACATTCAGTTGAGGAAATTATGAAAATATATAAATTGAACATTTCATAACTGTATATCTAATTATCAAATATATTTTTCAGAAAATTGTTGTGAAATGTTGCGACACTTTGAGATGCCACAAGATACCATAAATTATGAATGTAACATAAATGAAGTGAAATTTTTCTGCTACCTAACAGAATGAAAATAAAACATATCAGGTTGTAATTCCTCGAATCCTCATAACAATAATCAAGCTGATGTACTTGGCACTACTAGTGATTTTGGAGCATCAATATCTTGATATATGATATACAATCCTATTTCTTACTTTCACTTTCAAATTACAGGCGATCTGATATATCAAATTTACAGTTAAATACATAGATCAGAATTTAGAATGAAGTTTAATGACCTGAAATTATGTCTCAATTAATCTTCATTTATCACTTCAAATGCAATAAGTTTTCTATGTTCTAAATTAATTCACGACCTCAACTAGGTTTGTTTCAACACTATTAGCCAAAATCATTTCTGTTATGCGTGCTTTCATGTTTGGTAAAGGATAAATGTCAGTACTATGTATATTTATAGTCCATCAATCAGCTGACGTACATCAATGGTGTATCATTAAGTATAGAAACTTGCAAAAAAAAAATTTGATGAGAGAAATTTTTATATTTTTTAAACATCATTTTTACATCACATAGGATTCTGTGGCCTTATATCATTACAGATTCTGTGACCTTACATCACTGTACATTCTGTGACCTTACATCACAGTAGATTCTGAGGCTTTACATCACTGTAGATTCTGTGACCTTACATCACCTAGATTCTGTGACCTTCAGATTATATGACCTTACATCACTGTAGATAATGTGGCCTTACATCACAGTACATTCTGTGACCTTACATCACTGTACATTCTGTGACCTTACATCACCGTAGATTCTGTGACCTTACATCACAGTACATTCTGTGATATTACATCACAACACATTCTGTGACCTTACATCACAGTACATTCTGTGACCTAACATCACAGTACATTCTGTGATCTTACATCACTGTAGATTCTGTGACCTTACATCACAGTACATTCTGTGATCTTACATCACAGTAGATTCTGTGACCTTACATCACAGTAGATTCTGTGACTTTACATCACTGTAGATTCTGTGACCTTACATAAGTGTAGATTCTGTGACCTTCAGATTATATGACCTTACATCACTGTAGATAATGTGACCTTACATCACAGTACATTCTGTGACCTTACATCACCGTAGATTCTGTGACCTTACATCACAACACATTCTGTGACCTTACATCACAGTACATTCTGTGACCTTACATCGCAATACATTCTGTGACCTTACATCACTGTAGATTCTGTGACCTTACATCACAGTACATTCTGTGACCTTACATCACTGTAGATTCTGTGACCTTACATCACAGTACATTTTGTGACCTTACATCACTGTACATTCTGTGACCTTACATCACAATACATTTTGTGACCTTACATCACAGTTCATTCTGTGACCTTACATCACAATACATTCTGTGACCTAACATCACTGTACATTCTGTGACCTTACATCACCGTAGATTCTGTGACCTTACATCACTGTAGATTCTGTCACCTTATATTACTGTACATTTTGTGACCTTACATCACAGTACATTCTGTGCCTTTACATCACAATACATTCTGTGACCTTACATCACAATACATTCTGTGACCTTACATCACAATACATTCTGTGATCTTACTCAAGTAGATTTCTACAGCATTATTTCACCAATATGTCAAAAAGATCAAACTTATGCAAGATTTTGTTGAAATAATATTTGTTTTTGTCAATGTTTGATGCACTTGTATTCTCCCATGTCTGATACAAGTAGAAAAAAATAGTGACAATTATTTCCACTGAAAGAGTATTCAATATGTAAATTTACTGCAATTTCTTCCTTGAATGATATATGCCACCTTCCTCTTACTTAGTGACAGTTATCTCCCTTAAAATATCATTTTAAGTTATCTCCCTTTAAAGTAATTTAAGTTGTATCCCTTTTAATTATCATTTCCCAGTTTCCTTCCTTAAATTGTCACTTTTTTTTCAAATATATCTTCAACCAATGGAACCTAATAGTCCAAGCATCATTTATCTATGATATTTTTCTAGTGTTTTAGTTTGGAAATCTTTTTGCGTTTTAGCTTTTTATCAGTATAAGGTAGCACATATCCCAAAACAAAGAAGCTGTTTATCACTATGCAAATTAATGAGAAACTTCCTTTTTTAACGTTCCAGGTTTGTCAAGCTTCATTAGTTCAAACACACATTATTTTCTTAATTATTTACAGAAAATCATTTTTTTAGTTTTAAAATCTGAGATATTCATAAAATCATAATCAAAGACACGATTCTCTTCTGTCAAGTCTTAAATACCATAAAAACTGATGAACACAATTCATTTGTGATTTTTTGATCTATTGAAGCTTGATAAAAGGTCTCCAACGTTAAATTATCAGATCAAGAAACAATATACATGTAGACTGTTTTAGATAAGTTTCATATCAAATCACCTTTAACAAATTTTTTCAGAAATATTTAATATCCTGGTTTATTTATTCTAAAGTTGTTCAAAGCCTGACATTTTTAATCTGAAATTTTTCCCTTCACAATGAACTTTCATGGAAAAACAGAATCCTTGGTAGACTGCATGTTTGATTGTTAAAGATGATACCAGTTATATATTAAACAGAAATGATTTGTCAAGATTTTGAGAGAAAACAAATCTTAGTAATAAACTTTTATATTTATTTTCTTGATATATTTTATTCCAAAAACAATCAGGCTTTGATCACAGCAGACATGGGAGAATTCCTGGCTCAAAATGTAGTTTCCTAGACCAAACATGAAGCAGACAGGTGGAAGATCAACATGAAAATGTTGTGACATGTTTACATACTTCATAATGTTATTGTTGAATTTGTTATAGCTTGACATCGTAATGATACCACCAAACGCTATCCCCAGAGAATTGAAGTTCTGTGCCGCGGCATACACCCACACCTGTTAGGAATAAAACAGCATCTCATATACAGGTAAAAACAGCCAAGTGCCCTGACAGCAGTCAGACACAATGGCTAGGGTCAGTCACAAGAGTAATAGTCTGGTATAGCTAGGGTTACAGTCAGGTATAGCTAGGGTTACAGTCAGGTATAGCAAGGGTTACAGTCAGGTATAGCTAGGGTTAGTCAGGTATAGCCAGGGACACAGTCAGGTATAGCAAGGGTTACAGTCAGGTATGGCTAGGGTTACAGTCAGGTATATCTAGGGTTAGTCAGGTATTGCCAGGGTTACAGTCAGGTATATCTAGGGTTACAGTCAGGTATATCTAGGGTTATTCAGGTATTGCCAGGGTTACAGTCAGGTATATCTAGGGTTATAGTCAGGTATAGCTAGGGTTACAGTCAGGTATAGCTAGGGTTACAGTCAGGTATAGCTAGGGTTACAGTCAGGAAAAGCAAGGGTTACAGTCAGGTATAGCCAGGGTTACAGTCAGGTATATCTAGGGTTAGTCAGGTATAGCAAGGTTTACAATCACATATATCTAGGGTTACAGTCAGGTATAGCCAGGGTTACAGTCAGGTAGAGCCAGGGGTACAGTCAGGTATAGCTAGGGCTACAGTCAGGTATAGCCAGGGTTAGTCAGGTATAGCTAGGGTTAGTCAGGTATAGCAAGGTTTACAGTCAGGTATATTTAGGGTTACAGTCAGGTATATACAGGGTTACAAACAGGTATAGCTAGGGTTACAGTCAGGTATAGCTAGAGTTACAGTCAGGTATATACAGGGTTACAAACAGGTATAGCCAGGGTTACAGTCAGGTATAGCTAGGGTTAAAGTCAGGTATATCTAGGGTTACAGTCAGGTATAGCAAGGGTTACAGCCAGGTATGGCTAGGGTTACAGTCAGGTATAGCTAGGGTTACACACAGATATATCTAGGGTTACAGTCAAGTATAGCTAGGGGTTACAGTCAGGTATAGCCAGGGTTACAGTCAGGTATAGCTAGGGTTAGTCAGGTATAGCAAGGGTTACAGTCAGTAGCTAGGGTTACAGTCAGGTATAGCTAGAGTTACAGTCAGTAGCTAGTGTTACAGTCTGGTATAGCTAGGGGTTACAGTCAGGTATAGCCAGGTTACAGTCAGGTATAGCCAGGGTTACAGTCAGGTATAGCTAGGGTTACAGTCAGGTATAGCCAGGGTTAGTCAGGTATAGCTAGGGTTACAGTCAGGTATAGCAAGGTTTACAGTCAGGTATAGCTAGGGTTACAGTCAGGTATAGCCAGGGTTAGTCAGGTATAGCTAGGGTTAGTCAGGTATAGCAAGGTTTACAGTCAGGTATATCTAGGGTTACAGTCAGGTATATCTAGGGTTACAGTCAGGTATATACAGGGTTACAAACAGGTATAGCCAGGGTTACAGTCAGGTATAGCTAGAGTTACAGTCAGGTATAGCTAGGGTTACAGTCAGGTATAGCTAGGGGTTACAGTCAGGTATAGCCAGGGTTACAGTCAGGTATAGCTAGGGTTAGTCAGGTATAGCAAGGGTTACAGTCAGTAGCTAGGGTTACAGTCAGATATAGCTAGAGTTACAGTCAGTAGCTAGTGTTACAGTCTGGTATAGCTAGGGGTTACAGTCAGGTATAGCCAGGTTACAGTCAGGTATAGCCATGGTTACAGTCAGGTATAGCTAGGGTTACAGTCAGGTATAGCCAGGGTTAGTCAGGTATAGCTAGGGTTAGTCAGGTATAGCAAGGTTTACAGTCAGGTATATCTAGGGTTACAGTCAGGTATATCTAGGGTTACAGTCAGGTATATACAGGGTTACAAACAGGTATAGCCAGGGTTACAGTCAGGTATAGCTAGAGTTACAGTCAGGTATAGCTAGGGTTACAGTCAGGTATAGCTAGAGTTACAGTCAGGTAGAGCCAGGGGTACAGTCAGGTATAGTTAGGGTTACAGTCAGGTATAGCCAGGGTTAGTCAGGTATAGCTAGGGTTAGTCAGGTATAGCAAGGTTTACAGTCAGGTATATCTAGGGTTACAGTCACGTATATCTAGGGTTACAGTCAGGTATATACAGGGTTACAAACAGGTATAGCCAGGGTTACAGTCAGGTATAGCTAGAGTTACAGTCAGGTATAGCTAGGGTTACAGTCAGGTATATCTAGGGTTACAGTCAGGTATAGCAAGGGTTACAGCCAGGTATGGCTAGGGTTACAGTCAGGTATAGCTAGGGTTACACTCAGATATATCTAGGGTTACAGTCAAGTATAGCTAGGGGTTACATTCAGGTATAGCCAGGGTTACAGTCAGGTATAGCTAGGGTTAGTCAGGTATAGCTAGGGTTACAGTCAGTAGCTAGGGTTACAGTCAGGTATAGCTAGGGTTACAGTCAGTAGCTAGGGTTACAGTCAGATATAGCCAGGTTTACAGTCAGGTATAGCTAGGGTTACAGTCTGGTATAGCTAGGGGTTACAGTCAGGTATAGCCAGGGTTACAGTCAGGTATAGCTAGGGTTACAGTCAGGTAAAGCAAGGGTTACATTCAGGCATACCTTGGGTTAGAGTCAGGCAGCACTTAAGGATAACCATCAGGTATAGCTAGGCTTATTGTCAGGTAACAGCTATTGCTGGACCATTGTGTGAGTATAGACCAGAAGTGGCACAGGCTACTTACTGTACCACAGAAAGGTGATAGAATTAGTAGAGTGAAACATAGTGGAAAACAGAGAAGGAAGTAGAGACATTGAACATGATAGACTAGATATAGAGGGGTGGGAAATAGTCCAGCTTCTTCTAGCAGTTCATATACTTCACAGGGGGAGGGGCAGTACAGTTATTACACAAGGGGAAGGGAGACAGTCAAGCTACTTCACAGGGGAGGGAAGACAGTCCAGCTACTTCAAAGGGGAGGGAAGACAGTCCAGCTACTTCACAGGTGGGGTGGGAAGACAGTCCAGCTACTTCACAGGTGGGGTGGGAAGACAGTCCAGCTACTTCACTGGGGAGGGAAGACAGTCCAGCTACTTCATAGGGGGGTGGGAAGACAGTCCAGCTACTTCATAGGGGGTGGGAAGACAGTCCAGCTACTTCATAGGGGAGGGAAGACAGTCCAGCTACTTCACAGGTGGGGTGGGAAGACAGTCCAGCTACTTCACAGGTGGGGTGGGAAGACAGTCCAGCTACTTCACTGGGGAGGGAAGACAGTCCAGCTACTTCATAGGGGGGTGGAAAGACAGTCCAGCTACTTCATAGGGGAGGGAAGACAGTACAGCTACTTCACAGGTGGGGTGGGAAGACAGTCCAGCTACTTCACTGGGGAGGGAAGACAGTCCAGCTACTTCATAGGGGGTGGGAAGACAGTCAAGCTACTTCATAGGGGGGTGGGAAGACAGTCCAGCTACTTCATAGAGGGGTGGGAAGACAGTCCAGCTACTTCACAGGGGAGGAAGACAGTCCAGCTACTTCACAGGGGAGGGAGGGAAGACAGTCCAGCTACTTCACTGGGGAGGGAAGACAGTCCAGCTACTTCATAGGGGGGTGGAAAGACAGTCCAGCTACTTCATAAAGGGGTGTGAAGACAGTCCAGCTACTTCATAGGGGGTGGGAAGACAGTCCAGCTACTTCATAGGGGGTTGGGAGTACAGTCCAGGTACTTCACAGGGGAGTAAAGACAGTCCAGCTACTTCATAGGGGGATGGGAAGACAGTCCAGCTACTTCACAGGGGAGGGAAGACAGTCCAGCTACTTCATAGGGGAGGGAAGACAGTCCAGCTACTTCAAAGGTGGGGTGGGAAGACAGTCCAGCTACTTCACAGGTGAGGTGGGAAGACAGTCCAGCTACTTCACTGGGGAGGGAAGACAGTCCAGCTACTTCATAGGGGGGTGGAAAGACAGTCCAGCTACTTCATAGGGGGGTGGGAAGACAGTCCAGCTACTTCATAGTGGAGGGAAGACAGTACAGCAACTTCACAGGTGGGGTGGGAAGACAGTCCAGCTACTTCAGTGGGGAGGGAAGACAGTCCAGCTACTTCATAGGGGGTGGGAAGACAGTCCAGCTACTTCATAGGGGGGTGGGAAGACAGTCCAGCTACTTCATAGAGGGGTGGGAAGACAGTCCAGCTACTTCACAGGGGAGGGAAGACAGTCCAGCTACTTCACAGGGGAGGGAAGACAGTCCAGCTACTTCACAGGGGAGGGAAGACAGTCCAGCTACTTCACAGGGGAGGGAAGACAGTCCAGCTACTTCACAGGGGAGGGAAGACAGTCCAGCTACTTCACAGGGGAGGGAGGGAAGACAGTCCAGCTACTTCATAGAGGAGTGGGAAGACAGTCCAGCTACTTCACAGGGGAGGGAAGACAGTCCAGCTACTTCACAGGGGAGGGAGGGAAGACAGTCCAGCTACTTCACTGGGGAGAGAAGACAGTCCAGCTACTTCATAGGGGGGTGGAAAGACAGTCCAGCTACTTCATAAAGGGGTGTGAAGACAGTCCAGCTACTTCATAGGGGGTGGGAAGACAGTCCAGCTACTTCATAGGGGGTTGGGAGTACAGTCCAGGTACTTCACAGGGGAGTAAAGACAGTCCAGCTACTTCATAGGGGGATAGGAAGACAGTCCAGCTACTTCATAGAGGGGTGTGAAGACAGTCCAGCTACTTCATAGAGGGGTGTGAAGACAGTCCAGCTACTTCATAGGCGGTGGGAAGACAGTCCAGCTACTTCATAGGGGGTTGGGAGTACAGTCCAGGTACTACAGCAGGGAGGAATGAACACACAGAAAAAGTAGTGCCAATTCAGTTACTTCATTTACCACAGAGGAGAACGGGGATAGTCCAGATACAGCAGATGGAGAGTTACTAACACTTTAGTTACCTAGGAGGCAGAGGAGAGTCTGCAGTTATAGGAGAGTGGAGGGAAGACATTCTAGCTACCACAGAATGGAGAGGAGACAATCTAGTTACCACTGATGGGGAGAGGAGACAACACAGAATGGAGAGGAGACAATCTAGTTACCACTGATGGGGAGAAGAGACAACACAGAATGGAGAGGAGACAATCTAGTTACCACTGATGGGGAGAGGAGACAACACAGAATGGAGAGGAGACAATCTAGTTACCACAGAATGGAGAGGAGACAATCTAGTTACCACAGAATGGAGAGGAGACAATCTAGTTACCACTGATGGGGAGAGGAGACAACACAGAATGGAGAGGAGACAATCTAGTTACCGCTGATGGGGAGAGGAGACAACACAGAATGGAGAGGAGACAATCTAGTTACCACAGAATGGAGAAGAGACAATCTAGTTACCACAGAATGGAGAGGAGACAATCTAGTTACCACAGAATGGAGAGGAGACAATCTAGTTACCACTGATGGGGAGAAGAGACAACTGCTAGTTACCATAGATGGGAATGGGGGATAAGCTAGTTATCACAGATAAGGAAGGGAGGTAATTTGTTAGTTACAATAGAAGGGAAGGGGAGACAATCTAGTTACCACAGATAAGGAAAGGAGGTCATTTGTTAGTTACAATATAAGGGAAGGGGAGACAATCTAGTTACCAAAGAAGGGGAGACAGTCTAAGTTACCACACAAAGGGAGGGGAGACAATCTAGTTACCACACAAGGGGAGGGGAGACAATCTAGTTACCACACAAGGGGAAAGGAGACAGTCTAAGTTACCACACAAGGGGAGGGGAGACAATCTAGTTACCACACATGGGGAGGGGAGAAAATCTAGTTACCACACAAGGGGAGGGGAGACAATCTAGTTACCACAGAAATGAAGAGGACCAAACACAAATGATCAAGGATCAGAGGACGGGACCAACCACTTAATAAAGGACTAGGAATAGGGGCCAGTCACACTTAGTAGCAGACTAGGGAATATAAAAGTGTTTCTATGCTTTGTGCTGATTTTAGTCTCAACAGTCAGATTAAAGTGTTGCAGTATCCCAGTGAGCAGTGTCACAGACAGCTAGATATATATCAAGGTAAACCAGCCAAAAAGCACACAAGTAGTGAAGATTTGAAATTGGCTGTGCTTAAGTCAGAGCAGGCTGAAAACGAAAAGACTTAAGTAGGAAGATTTCTTATTTACTAATCAAGTTTTAATATTGTCTTGTAATCAATAAGTATATGTTATTTTTGAGCAGAGAAACTTCCAATTTCAAGAGAGAAGAAGGACGTATTTATTGTATATGTAGGCTAACAGGACTTGCTTTACTTAAGCTGAGGAAAATTTTGTGGAGAGAAGCTTTGGTCAAATCAACAAAAATCATCCACACTTCAAAATCATTTACTATAAATCAAGTTCCTTTCACAAATTTCATGACAGAAGCAAAATCATGAAAGTTAATGGCCACGAATTAAAACATAGATAATGATATTGAGTTACACGTAATATTTTCATGTGCAGTTTCAACTACATCTACAAGTACAATACATACAGCTCTAATGTGTTTCATAAATCAATGGTTAAATTGTGCCAAGGATAAGCTAATTCCTTGATTGTACCATTCTGAGGTGTTCAAATTTGCATTTTGCAGATAAACAATCTGGGTTATTGACTAGATATGGGGCTCCTGCGTGGTTTAAATGAAGATTGTGCACTTTGAATATTAAAATGGTGGCTTAGAATTTGCAAAAGTAAATCACCCTGCATCTCAAATCACCAATCTCAGATGGTTTGTAGTAATATGAATTCATTATCAATTTTGTCATTCATCAGCAAATTAATATCAGAACTGCACGTTTTCTTTTTCCCAACAAGCAAATCAAATATCAGGTAAATTATTGAAGTACAATTTTGACAGAAGTTCCCTCAGAAAATAGTAATAACAAATTTTAGCTTCTGAGTTCAAAGATGACTGCTCTGAGTTAATCTATTTATAGCAATTTTTGATAAAGAGCCCTTAAGGCTGTGGAAAAATTACGACGGATTGCACCAGCGTTTCATAAGAAATAGCTGTAACAAACTTCACCTGTTACAGAAAACTGTCTGGTTGACAACTTGTCAAATCAGTCTCCAAACTATATATAGAACAGAAACAAATACATGTAAATTATGATGACCATCCATTATGTATTTCTGAAGAAATAGAAATATCAAAAATTATTTGAGCCCTGAAAACGGTTTGATGTCAGACTAAATTCATCCTACCAGGAGGTATGGCATGAATGAACTAAAAAGGCAATTCAACAATGTCACAAATGAGAAAGGAGGTTTAAAAACTTCACTTTATGTTAACTGTTATTGGGGGAAAAAAATGACAATATGACAAAGCATGAAAGAATACACATAGTGATCAATCGATGTGGAAGTTGATATTACAGAATTCTAGAAATAAAAAGATATTGAAAGTCATATTAAGCCAAATAGTTGATGACAGAAAAAAGAAATAAAAAAGAAAAAAAATTTCTTTTAAAAAATATATTCAATCTCCAATGAAACTGATTTACAGTTGAGATTACAAATTAAAAATCGTGCTATAATTATGTAAAAGTACATCAAAAACAAGTAAACCTATAACACAGACACAGAGATAAACTATATTTTATTTGTCGATGAATCAAATGTTATTTAGCTTGTTCATTTGAACAAAAGTTACATATTTAAAAAATTGTTATTTTTCATATAGTTCCCCTTTTGTGATATTAATAAAATATATAGAATGGGATAGATAAATATGGGGGTTCTCTTCCTAATTTACAAATCATTTATTGTTAAATGAAATCAAAATGTTACAAACCTTTGGATCTGCGAGTAATTCCCATTTTGGCCAAATGAAGTACATAATTCCATTCCAAGAACCTGGAAGAGTTACTCCCCTTACCAGTAAAATGATGAGAACCAAAAAGGGAAATGTAGCAGTGAAATAAACAACCTGTAAATAAAGTGAAATGTAATCAGACATAAGAACACCACAGAGTCTATCAAAAAAGGAAAATATTAAATAAGATTTTACAGAAATATTAATGCTAACATTGTGTAAAGAGAAAGTAGGCCTAATATATATCAATCAAGCCAAACCATGTTGTCCTACTATGCCTCTAACACAGTATTATTAACATGTTAACCTACTTCGCCATTGAAAGAGTACCTGGTACGATAAAAACTTGTTGACATACATTTCCTCTTAAACATTTAGTTATTAGACTGACCTACCTGTATGTACTTTCCACAGACACATTAGAGGCAGCAGATTGACCTAATTCTCCTCTGACATACTATAGTTAATAGGTTTGACCTATTTTTTCTCCAACATAGAATAGATAGTAGGTTGACCTATTTTTTCTCTGACACCCTATTGTTAATATTTTGACCTACTTTTTCTCTGACACCCTATAGTTAATATTTTGACCTACTTTTCTCTGACACACTATTGCTACTAGGTTGACCTACTTTTCCGGTTCCCTTTGGCCCTTTCCAAATACAGAAGTACACTATGATCCAACATAACAACAGAATTAAGGACAAGTCCCAGTTCAGCATTCCCATCTCCTCGATTCCAGAGCTCTTCCGCAACATTTTGGATCTTGGTTAAAAAAAAAAAACCAATAAATTAATAATGATCATAACTATCAATTACTGTTATTCTATTTGTTCTTTTATTGACAGCATTTGCTTTGATTTTTGGTTTGTAGGTTCTTTTAGTGCCAAATAGTTAACTACTAGGCAACAAGTTATGTTAAACACTGAGGCAATATCTTACACAGGATCTATGATGTAAAGTCCCCGAATTCTCTCCTGTCACAAACTGTCGGTTTGTCATAGCTAGAGCGATTGGTAAGACATTTTACATTATGATGTAAACTAAAACAAACAAGAGGCCAATGGGCCTGAAAGGTCATCTGACTGTAAAGATCTATATATGAAAGAGGCAATATTGGCCTAAAATGAATTGCTCAACTACTCTACAGTTTACATACAAGACATTGTTGGTTCATCAAGACATTTTCTACAAACCTGAAATCATATACTTTATACATGCACTACACAATTGCAGTAGCTCCAGATGTATTGCTTGTTGAAAAAGCAAGCTACATGCCCAATACCAACACCATTGGGCTTTCAGTTATTGAAAAGAAGTTGCTTAAGCATCTCATTACGTTGACCCCTGTGACCTTGAAAGCTGTCCAATATCAGCACCCTGGTCCTTTTAGTTATTAAGAAGTGATTTAAATATTTTAACATATTTGATCCCTGTGACCTTTCAAGCGGATCAAGGTCACTGCTATTAACTAAGGGTCAATCAACTTTCTGAACTTAAGAAATGATTCCCCACCCTCTATGATGTTTTAGGTGAAATCCATACAGGCATGAAGGAAGAGTAGCATTTTGAAACAAAATCTTGTCTTACTTCCCCTAATAGCATTTTGAAGTAAAAAACTTTCCCATTTGAGGACCCACCCATCCTCAGGTCCCTAGGGATCGTATCAACCACCTGTATTTAAGAAATAATTCTTAACTCTCAAGAATGTTTCAGACCAAATTTGGTTGCAATATATTCAAGCATTAAAATGGAATAGTGTTTTGAAGCAAAATATGGACTAATTTACCTATTTGGCACCCTGCCCCAAAGTCTCTAGGGGATGAATCAACTTTCTGAATTTTAAGAAATTGTTCCCCGCTATCAATGATATTTCACACCAAATTTGGTTGAAATCTATTCAAGCATTAAGAAAGAGTAGCATTTTGAAGCAAAGCATTGTCTAACTGCCCACTTTCGGGTCCTGTTCCAAAGTCCCTAGGGGTTGAATCAAATTTATGAATTTAAAAAATAATTGCCTACCCTAACTGATGAATCAGGCCAAAGCCTGTTGAAATCCATCCGGGCAGAAAGGGAGAGTAGGGTTTCAAATCTAATTTCAGCATCTCCTAATTTTGGGACCCGACCCTCATCCCCTAGGGACCAAATCAAAATTCTGAATTGGAGTAATGATGACCTTCACCCAATGATGCATCAGACCAAATTTGATTGAGATCTGTGTAACTATGGAAGAGGAGTAGGGGTTTAAAGAAAATGTTAATGCACCACACACGACAGACGCCGTACAATGACAGACACACTGGGTACAATGACAGACAAAGCTCTATGGCTATAGGTCATCTCGACCCTTCCAGTCAGATGACCTAAAAACTGTAGATAAACATACTCAAAAAAGTCTTCAGTGGGTGATACAGTTCCATTGGGTTTAACAGCCTCTGTGCTGTTCCGCAGCACAGTGCTGTTATTGCTAGTAACGTTTTTCAACATGGCTTGTGCTTTACTTCCATCCCAACAGAGTGGAGAGTTCCACTCGTGTCCACAGTGGCTCCAAGGGAGCTCTCCAGTAAAGCTGCTGAAGAGGTAATAAAATGACCAGGTGATGATGACATTGTAGTACGTGGTAAACAGGAATGATATCACCACGGTAGCAAGACCAGCTCCTATGAAACAAAAAACTTTATTACATTATTAAATATTCTTTTGACATGATGTCTTATTTCTAGGAATTCAGCGATAAAAAACTATTTGATGCATGATTTTTCTTAAACAGTTAAAAACCAATTTGAGAATTGTTTTAAAACTATTTTCAAAACTGAAATCATTAGTGTGGTTATCTAACAAACATCAGTCAATATACAATAAATGTTTAAATAGACATCGTACATTTTGTGACATATTACCACAAAGACGACAAGATTCCAGCTATACCATACCTTTAAAAAGGGGACAGATTTTAGCGAGTGCCCCGACTGGGCCCTGTTGTGTGTACTGTCCAACAGTGAGTTCCATATATAGCAACGGCACACCACACAGTATCAACATCAGAAAGAACGGAAAGAGAAAGGCACCTGCAACACAATCGACAGGTATCATACTTTCGTTATCAACAATATCGTAACCTTGCTAAAGGTATAGTGTTATTTTCACTGTTTTTCAGGCCTTGAATAATGATAATTTCTGAAACTTCATTATCCCCTTCTCTTGTACTTGGTTGGCAAGGGATGGGGTTGTATTATAAGTAAACGATACAGTTTGAAAATCTTGGAAATGATTATTATATAATTATTGAGAATTATTCAAAAGATATCATTCCACTTAAACAAAAGGCCCATAGACATCTGACTAAAATGACATTCTTAATAGCCTGTCAACACAGAAAAGGTCATTAGAGCCTGACTATCAAGACCTAAAACTGCCAGCAGCAGCAGTACCTAGGAGGTGCAGTTACTAAATGCTTAAAACATATATTTTAGCAGTGAAAGTAGAAAAACTCCTCATTCCAGTTTCTACACATTCCAATAAAACTCCAGCTCAAGGGCACCCAATCAAATTGAGATGAAGTTTTAAAATGTGTCTTTTATGATAGCTGCTATACTGGACTTTAGACCAACCCAGAAAACAAAGGCTATCAGGGATTGGTTATGCTCCCTGAATGGGCCAAAATTTAAGTAAAAAAATAACAAAGGGCAATAACTACTATATTTTGTAAAAGAAAGTTATGGTTCTTGTACAATGCACATCTCCTTATCCAGATTTATCTTACTATGAAGTTTCATGTTGATACCTCTTATAGTTTTAGTGAAATGCTCTGGACAAATTTAAGTACAGAAAATCACAAAGGGCAATAACTCTTGAATTATGCAAAAAAAAAAAAAAAAAAAGTGATGGTTCTTGTGCACTGCACTTTTCCTTGTTTAGATCTATTTATCTATGAAGTTTAATGTTGATACCTTGTATAGTTTCTGTGTTATGATCCAGACAAAACTATGACAGACAGACAAACGGGCGCACGAATGAACAGATGGAAGGATAGAGTGACTGATGGACAAATGAACAAACAAATGGATTGACGGACAGACAAATTGGCAACTATATACTTTCCCTTCGGGAAGTATAATAACAACACTTGGTCAAAACCATCCCAGAATCATTTCATACAAGTTTTAGCTCAATTTCACTGGTTGAACATGAGAAGTTTAAATGTAAAACGTTCATGCATGACTGACAGAGCATAATAATGGAAAATGACCATAAATTCTACACATGACAGACATTCCTGAATAGTCAGATTTATGCCTCGTTCAGTTTTTCTCTTCCTTTCCGATAAGCAATGCAAAGATGAATAGCATACAACATTATCAAGATGTAAAAACTATTACTTCAAAATTTAATGCAAATTTAATGATGGATTGCAGTAAAACCGTTCCACCCCACTTCCTCCAGTTTATCAGATATATATCACCTTGTGAAACAAACACCTAACTTACCTCCACCACTCTGGAAACAAAGATAAGGAAATCTCCAGACATTGCCTAGTCCGACAGAGTAGCCAATTGCTGCCAGTAGAAACTCAAGCTTTTTACTCCATGTTTCACGATTTGCCACCATCTTGCCTTCACTTTATTCCAGCCAGTCACTGCGTCTGTCACACTCTACTCTCAGTCCTAGAAAGACGAAGCAATGTCACTTTACATAATAAACATATCTTTAATAGCTATAGATGATGTAACATTGGATGTACTAGAAAAAGGCAGTAACACATGAATGTCTCCGCTGTCCTGAATATAAGTGTCACAGACTTATGAATCTTTTGAAATGTGACCTCTGACCCTTTAACCTTGTCCGATGACTTTGACCCTTCAACCTTGTCCGATGACTTAATGATCTGTTACTATTGGATAAGTGATCCAAAGCAGTTGAGTGGCCATCAAGATAAGATATCTGAGACCTGATACAAGACTCTGTACTCATTTTTATCACTGCATGCTACTTATATACAAACAGCAATGTTATGTGTTTTTGTACATCTCTATTAGGAATGTGACTTAACATTGTAATATTTAAACAATTGCTGAGGTTTATCTCACAGTAAACAGACAGGGTCATGAGAACCCCAAATACGCATGTCACAATATTACTCCATACCATTACTACAATCCAAAAAATGCATAACACAACATTCCTGAAAAAATTTATTCAACAAATCTAAGCTAGCTCTTACATCCTGTAAATATCAATACAATAATATATATTAAGTCAAAAAAGAAAAAAATTAGTCAGTGATTCCATAACTATAGTTAATTCCATCAGTGTAGTCGATCTGTGGAATCAACAGCTTATATTCCATCAGGTGTAGTCTATCTGTAGAATCACCAGCTTATAACTATAGTTAATTCCATCAGTGTAGTCGATCTGTGGAATCAACAGCTTATATTCCATCAGGTGTAGTCTATCTGTAGAATCACCAGCTTATAACTATAGTTAATTCCATCAGGTGTAGTCTATCTGTGGAATCACCAGCTTATATTCCATCAGGTGTAGTCTATCTGTAGAATCACCAGCTTATAACTATAGTTAATTCCATCAGGTGTAGTCTATCTGTAGAATCACCAGCTTATAACTATAGTTTATTCCATCAGGTGTAGTCTATCTGTGGAATCACCAGCTTATATTCCATCAGGTGTAGTCTATCTGTAGAATCACCAGCTTATAACTATAGTTAATTCCATCAGGTGTAGTCTATCTGTAGAATCACCAGCTTATAACTATAGTTTATTCCATCAGGTGTAGTCTATCTGTGGAATCACCAGCTTATATTCCATCAGGTGTAGTCTATCTGTAGAATCACCAGCTTATAACTATAGTTAATTCCATCAGGTGTAGTCTATCTGTAGAATCAACAGCTTATATTCCATCAGGTGTAGTCTATCTGTAGAATCACCAGCTTATAACTATAGTTAATTCCATCAGGTGTAGTCTATCTGTGGAATCACTAGCTTATATTCCATCAGGTGTAGTCTATCTGTAGAATCACCAGCTTATAACTATAGTTAATTCCATCAGGTGTAGTCTATCTGTGGAATCACTAGCTTATAACTATAGTTAATTCCATCAGGTGTAGTCTATCTGTAGAATCAACAGCTTATAACTATAGTTAATTCCATCAGGTGTAGTCTATCTGTGGAATCACCAGCTTATAACTATAGTTAATTCCATCAGGTGTAGTCTATCTGTGGAATCACCAGCTTATATTCCATCAGGTGTAGTCTATCTGTAGAATCACCAGCTTATAACTATAGTTAATTCCATCAGGTGTAGTCTATCTGTAGAATCAACAGCTTATAACTATAGTTAATTCCATCAGGTGTAGTCTATCTGTGGAATCACTAGCTTATATTCCATCAGGTGTAGTCTATCTGTAGAATCACCAGCTTATAACTATAGTTAATTCCATCAGACAAGAATAAGTCTAACTTACTTTATACCTGTTGATTGTGTTTAACAGAATCTTTACATGTTCTTCTATAATATTCCTGTCACCATTTTTAACATTTACATCATTTACATTATCACAATTTACATTGAAAGCCAGAATTCTGAAAGATCGCTCATGCATAACAAATACAATTAACACATCTCTGAAAATACTTTTATGTTTTACAGAAATTCTTAACTATGTGACATAAGTGAGTAAAACACATTATCACATAAGTTCATATATATCTCAGTCACAGAACAATGTATACACGCTCAATACAGCATTCTTCCACCTGTACAAATTTCCTTCTTATGTAAATGTATACAAAAGGCCAACAGGGCCTGTATTGTTCTCCCGATTCAATATGCTGATTTACATCATCTAAACTTTAGAAAAAGTATTTTGAAAATTTACCCTCAGCCCAAAGGGCGGTCAGATGCACTGTTTATACAAAATTGAGAACTTCACCAAAGGATGCTTCAGACCACATTTCAACAAACTAGCAAAAAAAAAAAAAGAATTTTAAAGTAATTCTTCTATATTTCCCCTTTTGGGCACTGCCTCTTCCAGCTCCATGGAGTTCAGACCCATTGTTTGTACAAAATGGAGTTTCTTTCACCTAAGGATGCTTCTGTACTTCGGTCAAATCCACTCAAACATTCATGACTATAGCACTGTGTAGAAAAAGTTGACAGAGAGAAACTGGACGGCAGATGGACAACGGATACCATGCCATGGCATAATCTCATGTGTCCTTTGTTAGCTACAAATGTTATCCTAATTATGACATTATACATTACATGTAAATAAAACATCCTGCTTTGTATCTCCTTCTGTGTAAATCCCTACAGTCATACATAGGAGTCCAGTGGGGCCACTGTCCCCTAAAGCTCCGATTGATAGGGATCTCATTTACAAGATAAATATTGTAATGTAACAGCTTTTTTTTTCAAATTTCAATATATAATACATGAAAAATATCATGAAACTCATAGATAAAACTACTGGAAATTGTCTGCAATTGAACAAAATTCAGAATCAGAAAACTGACAAACCTGTTCCATCATCCTCAATATCGAAACATATCCAGCGAACACTTAAAGCCGTATGAATAATATTGAATAAACAACACAGCCTTCAATTCTGTTTGTCATGCACCATTGTCGTAGCATTTTGATTGGCTGAATGTAGTAATGCATACCTTTAAAAAAGCTTCATGACTGGTTACATTCTAATATATCTAACTAAGGCAGATCTTTTTTTTTCATTATAGCCTTATGATTATTTCAACGCTGTCAGCTTAAACATCTGAAAAGGTGTCACCATTCACACCAAATTTCAATTTCAAAATGCAATTTATTCCAAATATTGAAAATTACCTAGTTCATAGATAGATCTAGGTAATTTTTGATTTGCAGTATCTAATAAACACTAGTTTTTAAAATATTTCTGGCTTATAAGAAATAAATCTAACATAACATAGTCATTGGCTATTAATATCTGAAATGTTTGGCTTGTCCTCAATAGAATTTATCTGATGCCTAATTTTCCAGAAAATGTTCACTATTAGAAATAATTTTTATTTGGTATATGCTTATCATGCATTTTATACACAACACAACAAGATTTACAATTTGAAAATTTACTGATATTTGATAGCTTGTGTTTCAGTTGAAGGATCACACTTAAGAGCTGCTGTGTTAATGCTACATTCTAATACAATTATTTACATACATGTATATGTCTATATAAGGAAGAAAACAAATTTTAAACAAAACAAGGACATAATAATCAAGATCCCCACCCATGTTCATCTGATAAAGATATACTTTTAAGGTGAGCAACATGGAAACCTGGAAAAGATGTCTGCCAATCAGGTCACAGCTTCCTTATTAAAATATGCACAGAATTTGCTGATAATCAAACTTGAACAAAGAATTAAGGTTACAAGCCTACCAAGCAAGACTCATTATAATTCATTTGTTTCGTCAAAAGATAATGTGTGGAAAGCATTCGGTTAGAGTGTCGAAAAATATAAGCCAATCAGGTCACAGCAGCCTTATTTAATATGTGCAGAATGCGCCGATAATCAAACTCAGGCAAGGAATTAAGATAAAAAGTGTACCAACCAAGTTTCATCAGAATCTGACCAGTCCTTCAAAAGATATCATGTGGAAAGCAGCATCCAAGAGTGATTAAAGAAATCAGCCATTCATGTCACAGCAGCCTTATTAAATATGCGCCGAATTCATCGTTAATCAAACTTGGGCAAAGGATCAAGGTAACAAGTGTACCAACCAAATGTCATCAAAATCCGATCAATCCTTCAAAAGATATCATGTGGAAAGCAGCATCTGGACGGATAGATGGACCGACTCAATTGAATATCCCCCCCGCCAACTTTGTTAGGTTGGGGATATCTCAAACTATTTAACTTATGATACAATAAAAGATCAGGGCAGCACACATGCTCTGGTGATCACATCTCCAATGAAATGTTCAAGAACGGGTTGATAACCCATGTAAACTTGAGTGATCCCAAGCAGTGAAGTGAAGTAGCCAGAAACAGGCAATCCTGCTAGGTTCAGAGTAAAGGTAAGCATGTAAGTTATAGTGGGAAAGAAAATAACATAACACACACCAATGACAGGTGTTGTAGGAGTGGATGGTGGGAAAGAAAACAACATAACACACACCAATGACAGGTGTTGTAGGAGTGGATGGTGGGAAAGAAAATAACATAACACACACCAATGGCAGGTGTTGTAGGAGTGGATGGTGGGAAAGAAAACAACATAACACACACCAATGACAGGTTTTGTAGGAGTGGATGGTGGGAAAGAAAACAACATAACACACACCAATGACAGGTTTTGTAGGAGTGGATGGTGGGAAAGAAAACAACATAACACACACCAATGGTAGGTATGTGTACATCCAATTAAATGTTTTACTGTGTGTATGTGTACATCCAATTAAATGTTTTACTGTGTGTATGTGTACATCCAATTAAATGTTTTACTGTGTGTATGTGTACATCCAATTAAATGTTTTACTGTGTGTATGTGTACATCCAATTAAATGTTTTACTGTGTGTATGTGTACATCCAATTAAATGTTTTACTGTGTGTATGTGTACATCCAATTAAATGTTTTACTGTGTGTATGTGTACATCCAATTAAATG